GAATAGCAAGCACCACCCTTACCTCCCCTTCAGCACCCCAACCCTGTCTCCTGCTCTGTATTCATCTCGGCAGGGCAGAACCGGAGGCCTACACTGATGGTTTCACCACTGACTCCCTCCGATTTCCTGGTCCAAAGCCCTGGGGAAAAGGTGCTCCAGGGCTCTTGCATAGCCAGGGTGCTGGGACAAGGGGGTCCACCTACTGCACCCTGAACTCCATCAGGAAAATGAGCCATATGAGGAATCCACCTGCCCATGCAACCTGAAACCAGACACCTTCCTCATTTACAGGTGAGCACACACACTTCCTCTCCTTGCCCGAGGCGCTCATCTCAGAAAGCTGAGCAGAGACCCATCCCAGGGTCCAAATCTCCCTCTGGCCAAGGTCCTGGGAAACAGACATCTCTCCTCCCTGCACCAACCACCTGTGACTGAAGTCCAGAATCCTCCTGTGGTCAGAGTGTTGAATCTGGCCCTCTTTCCTGTGACGTCATCACAAACCAGGCTGTGCTGCACAGTTTTCAGGAAGGAGCCTGCAGCAGGGTCAGCAGGCCGCCCAGGCTCGGCCTCAGTCTCGCACCTCAGGCCCCACGCAGAACTAGACCTTCATGGAGTCTGGTGTCTCATGTGGCCTCAGATCCGAATAGAGGAGCTGAGATTTCAGTTCCCAATGAAAAGTGACCTCTTGCACACAGCACAGGAACATGCAGAGAGGATTTCTCAGGGGTTTGGCTCTGGAAGAAGTGCTTCTGCCAGCTGAAATCACAGAACCCACGCAGAGGACATTCGCAGCAGCTCCTCCCAGGGAGCAGGCAGCACGCCGCGCATGGTCCACTCCGCTTCCCACCAACCACCCTGCTGAGCCACGGGCTCGAGAACCCAACGTGAAGCAACGGTCTTATCACATCTGCCGCAGGAGGGCTGGCCGGGCAGGGAGCCCAGTCCCTGTCCTTGGGAGGGAGCAAGCAACAGCCCACAACCTCTCGGCTGTCTGATCCAACTGGCCCTGCCAGGCTCAGACCTGCTCACACGGTGAGTAAAAAGATGCAGTGAATTCTTTCCACTCCAGCTCAACACTTCTCAGAGAGAAGCAAACTCCGGCCTCAGAAATGTGCCCATCGTTAGCTCTGGAATTCCCTGGATTGTGTCTACACTGATCCACACAGGTGTCCCATCCAGACCACTCTACAAAGGCCCTAGGGTTTCAAGCCACGTCCAAGCTGTCCTTAGAATGGCAGGAACTGGCCCGATTAGGCACACCAGCCAAGTGACTCCATGTGCTGGAAACTCGGACAGCATCCTCGCTGAACAACAACGCTTCAAAGTCCGAGCTTCAAACTTCACTCACTGGGCACTGAGCACCATGTCAGCATCAACACTGCTCTTTCAATTCACTTGTCTCCCATTCCTTAAAATCAGAAACCAAGTTCCAGTCACCACTCCATTTTCCCTTCAGAGAAATAAGGCATATGATAGAATAAAACACTACGTGTGCACAACACACTTCTAATCAAAATATAATTCCTTGCTCTTTCTCATATGGGCAGCCCTACATTACCCATACGAATGAGAGGTGCCACGAGTTCAGTCATTACATACATATTTGACCTTGTGTTTTTCCTTTTGATATTTGTGTCTTGAAGTCAATGTCTATATTGTTCTCTTAAAATAATAATAATAATAATGATGATGATGATGATGTGGTCACATAAGGGTCTGGATCTCCAAAGCCACACAACATGGCTCTGGTCCAGATAAGGATGAAGACACAACCTCAGCCCAGGAAGCGAAGCCCACACCCTCAGGGATCCCGACATGCCTCACAGGTGAAGAGTTCCTTTGCTACATGGAGTTGTCCGAGTATGCAGGCACCCTTCACCATTCCTTCTGTTATCTTCATAAAATCCCCAGTTCAAGTCCCAAGTGATCACTGGGTCAAGCTTCCAGAGCCCAGGATGGGCCACCAGGTAAGCTGCCCCCTACCCCGGGGAAGGCTAACACGGGGCTCAATTTCCTATGGGAGCACGATGAGCCACTCCCCGAGCTCCTAAAGAACCTACACTCCTCCATGTGTCCCTCTCACAAAGGGCACCGCACCCTGTATCAGCTCTGAGGCTGTGTTTACTTTAAAACATAATTCCTAATGTCGGAATGTGGTTCATGGAAGAGGAAAACATGAACACCCACAAAGGATTCTTTTAATATTTCAAAAGATCATTTTCCCATTGTTTAATTAAAATAGGAAATAACCCAGAGATACCCCTTCCCCTAGCAGGTCCGATTCACTGCGGTAACTTAAAGAAGAGCAGGAAATAAAAGAAACAGATGTTCTGATGATCTATCATTTCCATCATCTAAATTTTGCAACTTCACCCACATGCAAAGAAAGAAGCACGAAGAAGCGTCTCAGCCTGGCTACTCCGAGGAGTCTGAACTGGAGTGACAGGGACAGACGATGAGGTGGTGTGTTTTGGGTGAGGCTGGTGGCACAGAAGAAGGTGCTCGGCCAGCTCTCCAACTGTGCCTCACCTGTCCTCAGCCAGGAACCTGCTCACAGCCCTCACCTGTCACAGCTCTCACATGGGAGACCCACTGCCACCCCTGGAGCTCGGCCTGCCCACACCCTCCTGCAGAATGCACTCAGCTATCCTCCGGGACCCCTTTCAGCTTTACCCAGACCTGAACTCCCCTGTCTACTGCAGAGCTCCAGGATTCCCCCTCTTCTTCCAAAATGACACTGGCCCAAGGCTTTCATGGGAAAGGTAGAAGGCTACCTAAGGAATGGTTCACACCTATTTTCCTCTTCTGTCGTATTTCTCTCCACTTATCTTCCTACCTAGGCAAACTGTAAGTAACAGACCAATGGAACATAAACATGCTCTGAGATCTGAATCTTTCATCACAGCCTTCTGAGGACTGCTTGTGCAATAAAATACCATATCCTATGACAGGGGGGTTTAAAACTATTATTTACAGAATAATACAGCCTAAATCACCTCATTTTTAGTTGCTCTTCCTTAGGCAGAACAGTTTCTATATAAAGTCATAAATATTACTTTCCAACAATTTCATTAAGGAGTAAACGGAAGATCTGTGGGATAACCTGACTCACCCAGGGTCAAGCAAGCAGTTCCAGAACTCAACCCAGGGCTCCTGACACCAAGCCCCTTGAAGCCACCAGCATGCCTCTATCCAGAATTCCCAAAGACTCTCCTCCTGACTTCACCACAAAAGAAACTACAGAGAAAATACAGCACCTCAAAATATCAAGATGATACATACAGTAAAATTAAAAAGTCAAGCTCAACTTTTTAAGGTAAAAGGCTATCCTGATTATATCTGAATTTTCATCTACGCTAATTGTAACTCTTTTGATGAAAAGACTCCTCAATCAGGAAAGAGAATCTTAGACAAATGACATCACCAAAGTCTGTATCTGATGACAAAAAGACACGATACACCTAACCCTAGATGTGAGCCACGAAATCATATCCTCGGGCCAATCAAATAAATGCTGTTAGATTAAGGAGCAAATTATATTTTAAAAACACAGAGTAATTCTCATCTTCCCTTTCTAATAAAAGTGATTTCCTAGGAAACAGATGTTCAAAATACATTTTGTAAGCAATAAAAGAACAGAGAAAATGTTATCCCCTGCAATATTCTACCTGCAGGGAAACTAAGTAACTCTTGCACCAAATCCAGAATGCTGACAGCTACTTAAGTCTTTGTGACTCAACTAGAGAAAAGAGAACAGCCCATGAGGTTTTGGGTTAATGAGAAGTTTTACCTCTAGCAAAAGTGAGTCACAGACATGAATAGTACATTACATCAAATATATCTGCTGTTTTTTCCTGAACATTGATGCCCTGTGACAAGCTGAATCATTTACTCAAGTGTTTATGTTCAAAACTTCAGGTCTCACAGAAAAGTGTGGCCAGCTGGGAATAAGTAAGCACCTCCTGACCTGTGGCCTGCACACCTGCTTCAGTTTCTGGGGGAAGGGGAAACGTATTTTTTAAGTAGCAATTACCTTCATCCCAAAGTAGGCCAATGACTTTGTCTTTATAGGAAAAGGGAAATTACTCTTCCAAATAAACACCTCAGCTCCTCATTTCTCATGCAACTTGAGTGGGGTCTGGTTTACTCCAGCCTCCAGGCCCCCACCTGGAGGACCCTACTGCACTATCCTGACAGCCTAACACCACCATCCCTGGGGACACGGGGCACAATGTTGAAGTTGGGGGGTGCTGCTCACGGGCTTGTTACTGCCACACCTCGTGAATGGGAGCGGGGAACACCTGCTGAACTTGGGGGTGCTGCTCATGGTCTGTTACCTGCACTGTGTACCAGGAGCAGTAGGGGACACCCTGAAGTTGGGGTGCTGCTCAGGGGCCCATTACCTGCACTGTCTGTGCCAGGGGACAGGGGGTACCCCACTGAAGCTGGGAGGCTGCCTGTGGTCCTTTACCCGCACCGTCTGTGCCCAAGGGCACAAGGGACACACTTCTAAAGCTGGGGAGCTGCACGCGGGCCGTTACCTGCGCAGCTGGTGCTCAGAGGAGCTAAGAGGACACCCCACTGAAGCTGGGGGCGACGCTGGGTCCGTTATCTGCACTGTTCCTGGGAAACAAGGGACTCCCCGAGCTGTCTGCGCCCCGACCCGCAAATCTCAGGTGGCGGGCATCCCAGAATCCACAGATCGGCGGGACTGAGCGAGTTCGGGAGCATTCGGCAAAAGAAGACTTTCAAAGGAAAAAAAAAAAAAAAAAAAAACTCGTCCGAAGCCCCGCGATTAACTCGCTGGACTCGCCCTTCAAGGACCCCCGCTTCCACCCCCGGGCCCGCAACCTCCCCACCGCAACCCTAGCCTCCCCAACACTCATGCCCCCACCCGGACCCCCCGCTCCGGCCCCTCGGCCCGCACCGTCCCCCCGCGATCCCCACCTCCCGGCCCGAACTCACCCCTCAAGAACCCCGGCCCGCCAGCCCGCACTCACCCAGCCGGGACCCCCGCCCGCCGTCCCTCTGAGCGCCCCTCACCCCGCCCCGCTTCTGCCGCCAGGGGATGCGCCCCGGCCCCGCCCACAGGGAGGCAGCTCCACCCCCACGCCCTGAATGGTCGGATCAGACGGTGCCAGGAGCTCATTGGGTTCCGCGCCTGCCCGTCCTCGGCCTCGCTCCACCCTCACGCCCGCGCATTCCTGCGGGGCCACGTGGCCGCCCGCGGCCCTTCCTAAGCCCAACGCCCCGCCTGGCTGCGCACGCGTGGGCGGGGGTGGGGGGCAGAGCCCTCCAGACACCCTGCCCTTCCCCGCAAACCCTCCGGCTTGCACGCGTGGGCGGGGTCGTGCGCAGGACGCCCCCCCCCCCAGACTCCTGGCCCTTCCTGCTGACCCTCGGGCTGTGCACGTGTGGGCGGGGTCGTAGGCAGGGACCCCCTCCCCCCAGCCCGGCCCTTCTCGCGGACCCTGGGGCTGTGCACACGTGGGAGGTTTCGGTGGGCGAGACCCCCCCCAGGCACGCGCCCTTCCCCGAGGACGCCCAGGCTCGCACACGTGGGTGGGGTCGGTAGGCAGGACCCCCCCCAGACACCCGCCCTGTCCCGTGGACCCCTGGGGCTGCAGACCACCCCCAGAGCACTGCCCCATCCCTTCGGGAGCTAGGCCTGCCAGCAGGGGCGGTCCTGGCTCTGCAGAAGGTCAGCTGCTCAGACCCGCCAAGGCTTGGGCGTTAGCATAGGCAAGGATGTCACACATTTCGCAGGCAATTTTAAGAGCCTAAAGTAGTGCTCTAAGAAGGAAGAGCCTCACCTTCTGGTTTCACCCTTGGAATGGCTAAGTGCTTCTTAGGCTCTCAAAGCATCCTTATACTGTGAGTCTATTTGTGGTTGAAGATACACGCATATGCTTGGGTCTGCACCCGAGGGTCCAGCATGAACAAGACCGTCGTCCTCTGTGCTGTTGTTAACCAGCAGCATTTATTTTATAATTTAAAAAGAAAATGGATTATTGTTATAATTACTACTGAAAGGATGGAATTTGGGACAAAAGTATCTTAAACAAGAATACAAAGAAACCACAATGACACCTACAGAATGTTACCTGGTTACAGGTAACAGAGGTGTTCACAGACACTGGACTCCTCCCCTTCTCCTACCCAAATCTCTGAGTCATAGAAGTAATTTAAAGTCAGAATTTTAGAACTGCCAGACACCTTAGAGATCTCTGGCCCCATTCGCTGGGCTTCTAGAATAAAACAAAGTAGCTAATTGTCACAGTTATTTTAAACATTATGTACCCCTAAAGCTCAGGTGTTCTGTATAAGGTCTTTCCCTGCAAATTCTGACTGATGTAAATCATAGTCATAATATGTAAAGACTACAGGGGTTGGGAAGTAAATAATAGTAGGTAAGGGAATGTTTTAGCAGTATTTATTGTTAGCATTTGCTCATTTTGTGGAACAGGCTGAGCTATTTTTATAAATACTATTTTAGACCTGTCTTTACTGCACACTGTGAAGATACCGAGGGCTGAATCAATGACAAAATATATTTCCTTCCAGTGACTTTAATATCAGAAAAATATTAGAATGTCTCTATTCCTAGGGGTTTTTTTTAGTACCTTACTCAAAGGTCTTCCACCGAGATAATTATCTTAATGGCCATGATGGACAGAGGTAAAAAGGCCAGCTGAATTAGTTTGCCACACACTTGTTACATTTCCAGATCAGGAAGACCTGAGGTAAGAGGAAAATAGTACCATGTGTAGAATAAACAAGGGATTTGGAGTCCATTTGGGGATCCTACTTTGGTTTCTGACCCTAATAAAATCCTGTGTGACTTACACAGTCTCTAACCATCTAAAAATGTGACTAATCATATCTACATCTCAGCTTAGAAGTTCAAAAGGGAGAACTCTACAAAGAGCCCGTGTGACCTCTGGTAAGAGCAGGTGCTCAGTACGTCATAATAATCATTTGGGTTTATTTATTTTCCCAGAAGAATGAAAACAGACTGAATCAACATTTCTAATAGATGGCTCACAAGCTTATTTTCAAAAACTTAAGGACAATCACAAAGTGAAATATGACACATTTTTTTTGTGTCATATTGCCCTCAGAAATTGTGTTTTTGGACCTATGAGGACAATACAGAAGCACCATCATAACTAGAAGTACAGACTGCAGCTTCACAATCCCATACGCCCATGTTGACCCCCTTAGCTCGGGGCCACCAGAAAGGGCAGCTGGGGGGACCACAGGCCAAGGCTGCCGGGTGTGGCTGGGGCAGGCAGAACTCCGATTTGAGGCTTAACTCCTGTCTAGCTTATGATAGTGAGCGCTCTTCACAGATAGAATACCATTGTCTGAGCCCTGATGTGGGAAAGGTTGAGAATTTCCACTGTGATTCCCTCTCTGACCCTTAGGAGATTTAGAAAAGTTAAGTTTAATTTTTAAACATTGAAAGACTTTTTGGTTTTCTTTTCATTATGATTATGGCTCAATTCCCCTGCGGTCTAAGAATATAATCTATATAATTTCAGGCTTTTAAAATTTGTAGACTTGCTTCATGGCCCAGCATACCGTGTATTTTGGTAAATGTTCTATGAGCACTTGAGAAGAATGTATTCTGCACGTATTATGTAATGTTCCATATATGTCAGTTTGGTCATATTTGTTACCAATGTTTCGTCTACTGTTTCTACCAGATATTGAGAAAGGTGTGTTAAAATCTTCAAACATCACTATTCTATTCAAATTGTATTGGAGAATCCACCCAGTGTTATAAGGCAAGAAAAACAAAAAGTATGAAGATTGAGGTGGGAAAATATGACTATTCCCAGATAATAGGATTGTGTACATAGAAAATCCAAAATAATCTACAAAGAAATTATTAGAATTAAAAATGGAATTTAGAAATTTGAGATGGATCATAGCCTTAAACTATAAAATTTCTGGGAAAAAATGTAGAAAATATCAGTCTTGGGGTAGGACACAAAATGCACTCTTTAAAAGGATTGAATTGGACTCCATAAAAATGTGCCATTTCTGCTTATCTCATGGCCATTAAGAAAATGAGAAGCAATGCACGGACTGGGAGTAAAGATTTGCAATACACAAACTAAAGGACTTGCCAATAAAGAATTACTACAATCAACAAGAAAAAGTGTATTTAAAAGCAAATCCCGGACAAAAGATTACTGATGGCCAATTAGAACAGGAAAGGGTGCTCAACAGTATAATTTTCAGGAAGATCCAAAGGAAAACCGCAATGAGATGCCATCACACGCATAAAAGAATGGTTACAATTAGACTGACCATAGCAAGTGGTAAGGAGCAGCAGGGAAACAGTTGTATCAGCCAGGGTCCTCCAGAGACAGAGAACCCAAGAGACACATGTGCAGAGTTAGAGGTTCAGCTCCTGCCTGAGAGCTCCCACAGCCTGCGCTGGGGAGTTCTGACTCCCAGCCATCCCTGACATCCCACCAGCCAAGCCCCTGCAACGGACCTCTGAACATCTGTCTCCTAGGGGCTCCATTTCTCTGGCTGAGCCTGCCTTTAGACCTACTCACAAAATCTCGTCCCTAGAGTAGAGATGAGCTGCTTAAAGAGACACAGCACTGTTCCGGGTGGGAGGGCAGAACAGGCTTTTGGAACCAGGTCCCCCAGGGCCAGGTCTCTGGTACCTCCCAGCTGGGCGACCTTGGACATGTTACGACACTTCCCTGGGCCTCCGAGTTCTCCTATATAGACAGGCTTAGCTACAACTAGCTACTCCCAGCTCAGGAGGCCCTTGGGGGTGAAGATTAAATGTGGCCGTGGGCACGCATCTGCCTGGCATTCTACCCGGAGCTGCAAGTGTGTTTGCTAAAGGTTCTGTCGGTGGTCAAGTGACAGTCTACATAGTGTGATGGGAGAGGGGAGCCCAACAAGGGGCCCAACAAGGGGAGCCCAACAAGGGGGAGCCCAGCCAGTGCCACACAGTCAAGGACCGCACTGAAGCCTGGGGGCGGCACACATGACTCCAGGGAGGTCTCGGATGGACAGCAGCTCAGAGCACACAGTGCGGGGTTAAGGAAAGCTCCCTCCCATGTCCCCGGCTGTGTTGAGACCACTTAGAAGTCTAGGCCCCCAGTGTTCTCATGTGTCTGGCTCTTCCCATGTGAGCTCTGAGCCACGGGGGTCGTCAGGCTTCCTCTGGGCCTCCCTCCCAACACCAAACGTAGGGCCAGACACACATCTCGTGTTCAGTTATCGTGGAATACTACCCCGATGGCCTATCCATCTTACGATCTGTCCTGCCCACAGCCCCACCTCATTCCATCCCCTCCAGCAGGTTTCCATAAGCCCCTCTCCTCCTGTGCCATCCTTGACGCTCGAATTCCTGTCCCAGGGATGGTCCCACTGTGTTTGGGTGCCAATCCCCCCGCACAGCTTGCTGACCATGCCTGGCACACGGTGGGTACACAGGACCTCCTAGGGGACGGTCCGGCCCGCGTGGGCCACCAGGGGAGGGACCCGGCTGATCAGAAGGGGCTGCCGATGGCCTTGGGCAGCCACTCCTGGTGAAGCGCGTCCAGCTCCCTGAGGACAGTCAAAGACACACACTGGGGCAGAGCACGTGGCAAACCGCACACAGTTCATTTCCTGGTGTGGCCTCATTGCCAATCAACTGATCATTTTGTGTCTTCACGAAGTTCTCAACTAAAGCAAAGACAAGCAACTAGGTTAACACAGACGCCATTCAGGAATCCACCAGGACGGGCTTCTGATGGGCTAGGTGGTCCTAAGTGGAGGAGGGTGGGTGTGCTCACTTTCTGAACTGTGTGATGGTTTCACACGTGTTCGCGGACGTCCAAACTCACTGAATTGGGACTTCCGTTACACACAGTTTCTCGTACGTGGGTTATATCTCAACAAAGCTGTTAGGAAGCAATCAGGAAAAGCGTGAGCGGCCTGGGCTGTGATGCTGCAACTGTTCTGGAAACCACAGGTGAGCCGCCTCTGGTCCGGCTTCCCCGCGGAGCTGGCCACCCTCCCCTGGT